CCCCGCTCCCGCGCGGCACCGTCGCCCCGGGCCGCCGCACTTCCGCGCAGGCAGCGCCGCGGACGCCTCACAGAGGGGCCTTGGCGCAATGCGGGGCGGAGCGGGGATTTTTCGGTCAGGCGGCGCGGCGGGCAGCTCCGGCGCGCCGCCGGCGGGGGGGGGGGGGGGGGGGGGGGGCGGGTCGTTTATTCCGGTGTTCCCGGTGGGATCGGGAAGAGATTCCCGGTCAGGTGGCGCGTAGGGGTCAAGCTGGGGAACGGGTATCGCGGGGGTGCTGCGGATCAGGCAGGGAGATGGGCAGCTCAGCGCGGGGGCCTGAGGGGCGCTGTTGCCATGGCGACGCCGAGGCCTGAGGGGCGCCGGGCCCGGGAGGCCTCGGGGGTCGGGACGGCCCCTCCGGGTCCTGGTCCCTCGGGATCCTGGTCCCTCAGGATCCTGGTCCCTCCGGATCTTGGTCTCTCGGGATCCCGGTCTTTCAGGATCCTGGTCCCTCGGGATCTTGGCCTCTCGGGATCCTGGTCCCTCTGGATCTTGGTCTCTCTGGATCCTGGCCTCTCGGGATCCCAGCCCCTCTGGATCCCAGCCCCTGGGAATCCTCGTCTCTCCGGATCCTGTCCCCTCGGGATCCTGGCCCCATCGGATCCTGGCCTCTCAAGATCCTGGTCCCTCCGGGTCTTGGTCCCTCGGGCCGGGGAGCGGTTTGGGGCCGTGGGGTGGGTGTGGTGTCACCGCTGGGTGACCCCCGGTGGTACCCGCGGCCCAGGGGGTTCTCCCCCAGCCGGCCCAGCTGTGGCCTTCCAGTAGCTGAAGGGAACCTACAGAAAAAATGGGGCAAGACTTGACAAGGGCATGTAGTGACAAGGATAAAGGGGAATGGCTACAAAGAGAAAGAAGGTTTAGATTGAATATTGGGAAAAAATTCTTAACTGTGGCGGTGGGGAGGCCCTGGCACAGGCTGCCCAGGGAAGCTGTGGATGCCCCATCCCTGGAAGTGTTCCAGGCCAGGCTGGATGGGGCTCTGGGCTAGTGAAAAGTGTCCCTGCACACGGCAGGGACTTGGGACTGAATGGTCTTCAAGTTCTCTTCCAACCCAAACCATTGTGGGATTTTGTGATGATGGCTCTGTGAGTTTTGGTGTTTGGAGGCCGTAGCCCAGGACACACAGGACTCTCTTTTGTGTAGCACAGTACAAACAAAGCTCCTGATAAATTTGGACAAAGTTAACTGGAAAAGCAGTGTTTGGTCTGAGCCTGGGGTAGTGTTGCTTCATCTGAGTCCACAGTGCTGGGCAGGACAGGAAAATCAAGAGTTCAGTGTTGTCACAAGAACACAGGACTTGTGTGATGTGCAGTGTCAGTAATTGGTCGCATTTTGGCCCAAACTCAGGCTTTTCTATGTTTTTGCTCTTCATTTAGTCACAAATTATGCTTAAACATAAGCACTGTCTTCTGGTTTCTTAGGTCATCAACACAGGGGTTTAATTTGTGAAGATCTTCACTGCTGTGGGCTCCTTGACCATCTCAGCACACTCAAGCAAGGACTCATTAGTTATTTATTTATTTTGGAAATTAAACAGAGCTGGTCTTCTCCAAGGGTGCAACAAATAGTTTTTCACTGGTACAGAAAGAGAAAATGCAAACTGCCTAGGAAAAAAGTGGCTTTATTTGAAGCAGGGGGTGACCATCGGCTCCTGCTGTGGCTGCAGAAAGCCCTGATCACCTGCCTGGGTGTCACAGCTGTCCCTGAGCGAGGGGCCGGGCTCCAGAGCCTCCAATCCACCCGAATTCCTGCGTGAATCACCGCCGGGACTGCCTCACCCCAGTGGCAGGGCTGGAGCTGGATGCTCTTTAAGGTCCCTCCCAAGCCGAGCCACGCCAGGGTTCCAGGTTAAACAGCCAGGGCTTCAGCCGAGCTGTCAGGAGTGGTCACTGTGTTACAGAGCCACACCTCTGCTAAATCTGCTTCCCCTTGGCCACTCCTACAAAGCAGGAAACATCCGATTCAAAATTCCTCTGCCTACACCACAGTAATGTCGGGGCTGCTGCAGTCTTGCTTTGCGACCCTCATAGAAGCTTCTGTTATTTATTTAATATCAATTACAAGGAGGCAGAGTTTCCTATCACACCTAAAATATGTTGAGATGCACCCATGTTGATAAAGAAGCAGAGCTGTGTTAGTGAGTCCCCAGAAATTCACAGAATTGTAGAATATCCTGAGTTGCAAGAGACCCACAAGATCATCAAGGTCCAGTTCCTGTCATCAAAGTAAATGGTATTTGCAGAGTTGGCTTTTGGGAAAACTGTCTTTCAGGTTGTTAGTTAGTTTGCTGAACTGTTATCTTGATAAACTCATTAAAAAATGGTGTGATGTTAACATGGTACAGGATTTAATTAAGACTTATAATCCTCTGTTTTATGGTTAATCCTTTGTTTTACTGATTTCAAAATGACAATACTTTTCCTATGTTCCCCCCAGAAGTCTGGAAAGTGGATTATTGTCTGTATTCCCAGGCTGCACAGTCAGCAACTGCCTGTAGGAGAGGATGGGGGAGGAGAGGGAATCCTTGCCATTTACCAAGGGGCAGCAGATAAAAAGACTGCAGGTGTGGATGTCTGACAAGGAAAGGTGGCTGTCCCAGTTCTCAGGATTTCAGCTCATTAGCTCCTAAATTATAGCAAATTTTTTTTGCTGCCAAAATTATTTAAAAGCAGATTCTTGCTTTGAGCTTTTGTTTAAAGGTGGAATTTATATTCTCCATTCTCTTCACACTTGTAATATTTGCTCTGTGAGCATAGGACTGACTGACTGATGACTGTTTAATGATGTTAATTAAGTAGTGTTAACCCTGGGGTCTTTAAAAATGCCAGCGTGTGTCATCTTTGTGTTCAGCCCCAATGAATTTCAATTCACTCTTAAGATATTTAGATTTTCCAGATAATTAAAACTCCCTGAAAGATTCTTTGCAGGTGACACGTCAAAGACATTCTGAGCTGCAACTGGAAACCAAATGACAGCTACATCTAGGAAATGGAACATTTTCTGCTGGGGTCAGCTTAGTGCATCAGGGATGCAGAGGTGGGGAGGGAAGAAAGGACCAGAGAGCCTGGGGAGGCACTGGATCCATTTAGGTTTGCTCTGCCAGACCTTGGTTAACTCCTCACTGCAGTTCTTGCACCTCATCCGGGTGCTTCAGTGCTGGCAGCTGCTTTGTTTTGGGTTGTTTTAGGGGGTTTTGAGTATTGGCTCGAAATAGCATTCGTACTTTCCTGAAACGACTCCAGGGCTTTGAGTTCTGGCAGATGATTGGCTTTGTCTCTGCAGGGGCCTCATTTAGCTCAGCCCATGAGCACTCGGAAATGACACGCTGGTGACAGCCTCCCCAGCAGTTGGTGTTGCAAATAGTTCAGCTGTGAGCGTAGACAGTAATTGTTGTGAGGTGCCTTCCTGCCGGGGAAGCCAGGGCACCCCGAAGAAATTACAGGGGAGAAGCAAAGGAAACTACTGGAGTAGGGTCTGAGGTGCTCATGTAAAACAAAGAAACCAAATCAAACAAAACCCACAACAAACCAAATAAAAAAACCCACCACAACCCAACAATGTTTTCTAGCTAAAGTTAAATATACAAAGTCCTTCTTCAAACTCCCACCCGTCACTTCACAAGGGTGGGAGTTACTTCACACTCACTTGAAACAAAAGGTGGAGAAATACAAGAAAACTTCTTGTATGTGTGACAAAAGAAACGGGGTCTTCCCAAAGCTTCTGGAAAAGAACCCTGTTCCTGGGGCACTGCAGAGCCTGCCTGAGGCCTCTGACAGGTGATGGGAAATGTGTGTTTTATTGACGGTCCCCTGGCTCCACCACCTGCAGGGACAAAGCCACTCCCTTGGCTTTTGCCAAGGGCAAAGGATTCATCTTCCTGATGCTTTGCCACCTGCTCATTAGGGAGATGGGCCCTGGCCAGGCTGCGGTGGCTGGGAAGGACAGAGCAGCACCTGGCTCTGGGCCCCTCCACCGGGCTGTGCCTCTGGGACCTTCTGTCCCCAGCGGAGCTGCTGAAATCCCAGTGTGTTCAACAGAGTAGCACCAGCAGATACAAGGTCCGCAGTCCACTTTTATCTTTTCCAGATAAAAATGTTGAAGAACAAAGTTGTATATGACTCCCAGTGGAAGGGTACAACATTTACCCCTAAGAGCTTTATGAGTGTCTACATCTGCAATCCCTCCACTCTTCCACTTTCAAGAACCAAAAGGAGCCCATTACTGAAGAACACTGTCATGAATTTTCTTCTGGAAGAAGCTATATTGGCCATGTCACAGAATGAGCTGAACCTGGATTGTTGAGTTTTTTCCTTTTAAAATCATATCAACACACTGAGAAACCTTTAAATGTGTTTTAAAGGCTCTGAGGAGTACAGTGATTTAAATGCTTTTTTCCAGATCAATATTAGTGTGCCTTTTTGAAAATGGATAGTACAGAATTACAGCATGTACGCTCTGGGGGTTCTCAGTGTTTTTAAATTTAAGCTGTGCTATTTTTGTGCTCATCTGTACGAGCTGCCAATTTTCATGCAAATTATGGCTTCTTAAAATAACTGAATATACAGAAGCACTGTTGAGTTTCTTTCAGAGGAGAGCCTTCATCTCAACGCAGTAGCTTGATTTTAGTAGGTTTTTGTAGCAGGCCAACACTTCTTGTACAGCCTGGCACGGTTCTTCAAGGACCCAGTTCAGCGGGGATCCATGCTGCGCTCCAAAATGCTTCCAACGTGAGCACAGACCCACCTCAAAGCCTTGTCCGAAGTCGGGGTGCAGCCCACGCTCGCCTTTGGCTGTCGCTTTGGCACAGGCTCCCAGCTTGAGGCAAAGCCGCAGAGCTCGAGCTCCGAGCCGCGCAGATGGATCCCGCTGTGGAATTTGCTTTCGCGCCAGCCAAGGGCTGGGAGCGGGGCTGGCGTGCGGGCATGAGGCGCGGAGGGATCATCCCTACACCCGGCAGCCCGAATCCAAATAAACTCTGTCCGCTCAGCTGCCCTAAAACTGCCCGAACAGATCGGCCCTGCAAATATCGGCCCCCACTTCTGGCTCTGTAAATATTTTTCTTTTAATGAAAAGCGTCGGCCGAGTCGGATCCTGCCCTCTCCCTCCCCGATAGCCGAGGTATTTATATATTATTTTTCTCGCAGCCAGCGCAGCCGCAGGGTCCAAAGTTGCAGCCGGGGACAGGGACGCGGCCGCCCCCGGAGCCCGGTGGTGCGGGGTCGGGCCGCAGTGCTGAATCACGGCGGGGGGGAAGGGGAAGGAGAAGGGGAAGGGGAAAAGGGGAAGGGGGAAAAGGGGAAAAAGGGGCAGGGGGCGGTGCCGGCTGCTCACGTCACTGTTATGTCTCCGCGGCTCCGCCGGGGCGGGGACAGCGGCAGCGGCGGCGGGCGGGAGGCGGGGGGGCCGCGGCCCCGCTCCCCTGACAGCCCCCGCTCCCCTCCCTCCCTCCCCAGGCCGGCCTCCGGCTCGGCGCTCCCGGGAAGATGTGGGTGAAGCTGTGCTGTTTGCTGCTCTACTTCCTGGCGCTCTTCGTGCTGGCCCGGGTGTTCGAGGCCGTGGCGTGGTACGAGAGCGGCTTCCTCGCCACGCAGCTGGTGGACCCGGTGGCGCTGAGCTTCAGGAAGCTGCGGACCATCCTGGAGTGCCGCGGGCTGGGGCACTCGGGGCTGCCCGAGAAGAAGGATGTGCGGGAGCTGGTGGAGAAGTCAGGTACGCCGAGCTCCCCCGTGACCCCGGGGGACGGACGGAGGTCGGTGCCCGGCCACCCCCGCCTGGGCTCCGGCCGCCCTTGGATGGAGACGCGGGCGCTGCTTGCCCTGGCAGGGCGGGTTCGGGGAGCGAGCTGGCTCCCCCCAGCAAGGGGTCCATGGAGGGAGCCCGGGGAGCTCGGGGGGTGACGGTCAGAGCCCGGCGGCGTTGTGAGCCCGAGGGGCTGCGCCGAGTGAAAGGCCTGCGCTGGACGGGGCACCAGCAGCGGCCCTTCCCTTCCCGGCCATTCCCGGCCATTCCCGGCCCTTCCCTCCCCTTCCCCGGGAGTTCCGCTGCGGGCGGTCGGGTCAGTGCGGGTGGCACCCTCGGGGGGTGACGGTCAGAGCCCGGTGGCGCTGTGAGCCCGAGGGGCTGCGCCGAGGGAAAGGCCTGCGCTGGACGGGGCACCAGCAGCGGCCCTTCCCTTCCCTTCCCGGCCATTCCCGGCCCTTCCCGGCCCTTCCCCGGGAGTTCCGCTGCGGGCGGTCGGGTCAGTGCGGGTGGCACAGATGCGACCCAATGTCGTCTGCCGTGAAAAACGAGGAGAGATTCCAAATAGCTGCAGTCGGCTGCTCTTTACAGCCGGGGCCAGCTCGTTCCCGTGTGTTCCCAGCCGTTCGCTGGGTTTGTTACAGGTACGGTTATCAAGATGGGCCCCAAGGAAAGCGATGATTTCATAGCTGAGGAGCACAAGGGATGGGTACCCAGGCTTGAGATGGTTTTATACAAGGGGAGCAGAACTAGCATACAAAAAAAGCCTCAGAAAAAGGCAGAGAGCATTTCAGAAGTAAGGAGGACCAGGAGATGGACTTCTCGAGGCTGATGAAGAGCAGTGGAGATGTAAGAATGGCAGAAGTGTCCTGACAGTAAGGATGCTGCCTGGAGCAGTCGGAGGGAGCTGGCCCCAGGGACTGGGAGATGGGGCTGATGTAATAGCTGTAGTGCCAGCCAAGCAGGAAAATGTGAGTAGTTGCTTTTAAATCAATGATGGAAGGGCTGGTGACCCAGGAGAGAGAGAAATCCCAGCAGTCTGGACAGGCAGTGAGGGTCTCTAATGTCTGGACAGAGAGGGAGAAGGATTGGTATGGATGTAGTGCCTGCCATATAACCTTAAAAATGCTGCTTTAAATAATTGATATTAATCCTGGGCATTTAAATCTAATTTGCTGTTACTGTTCATTGTTTATTTATGTTTTTATGTTGTTTATTGGCTTTGCTGCTCCAACGGCAAAAAGCATTAGGCACTTTCACTTTTGTTTCCAATCACTTTCACTCCTTGGCTGTCAGGTACTTTCATGATGTCATGATGTTTGGGTTGCATATGTTGCAGGGAAGTGTTTAACTCAAAACAAACTGTATTAACCAACTTCTTCAAATGTCATGGAAACACTTCTCATACCAACAGGCTTTGCAGCATTTTTCTGTGATTGCGTTTTGGTTTTTTTTTTCCCCTCTAAATTTTATGAATATTTTCACAAACCCCTAAAGGGTTTCAGCTGTTGCACTTATTTTTATATATTTAAGGAAACTGGCTTTGGACAAGACTTCATTTCTAAAAGCTTAGTAGATTAGTTACTAGAATGCAGGTTGTCATTAACAGTGTTTGTAATGATTGTGAAACAAAACACGAGAAGGAAATGAGATTACGAAGGAACATAATCAGATGATTTTACCGTGAGCTCTTTATGTTGCTGCATTTGGAGTTCATGGGAACTTTTCCCAACTGTACCAACAAAAGCCAGCAGCTAAATTATTCTGTCTGAGATTTTTACTAGCAGCAGGATCACAAACACTGCATTTTGGTCCAGAATTAATGATTGAAATTCTGAAAGTCTGTTTGAATTATCAGTGTTAAGAAATTGCTTACTGCAAAATCGCAATCCTGTGAAAAGAAAGCAAAGATGTATTGACTAAAACTGCTCTGAGCCATTGAATGTTGTTATTTGCAGAGACTGAGCCTTAGAAGATGTTCTTTTATTCCTTTGTGTGCTCGTGCATGTGTGGTGCATCTGTGTAATCAGAAGCAGAGCATTTGTATCCTCTGTGGCCTGACTGAAGTCAGATTGGTCACAGTCACATCACCAGAGATAAAATTCTAGTAACAACTTAAGGTTTAGCTACCTTTGTACTGAAAAGGTTCTCTGAGCAACCATGCAAATATAGTCAGTTAAACTGTTACTAGAATTCATGAAGTAATCTTTCCCCAGTGACGTTTTAATTGAATTTCTCCAATTGTCTCTTTTTCAGGAGACCTCATGGAAGGAGAGCTTTATTCAGCTCTCAAGGAGGAAGAGGCCTCTGAATCGGTTTCCAGTACAAACTTCAGTGGTGAAATGCACTTCTATGAGCTTGTAGAAGACACAAAAGATGGGATCTGGCTGGTACAGGTATATAAATTTGACCTTTTGTTTTAATATATATTGATCACACCCAAAATGTGTTTCAAAGGAGGAGTTTATGAGGGTAGTTAACTAGTTGTAAAAATGTGTAACAGGGAAATGGTGACAAAGATAAACTTCATCCAGGAGATGAGGAATAGAGAAATAAAAAGAAAGGCTGGAAGTGCCAGAGTTCCTATACAGACAGCAAGAAAAAAAAAAAAAAGCTTGTTATTCTTTGGTTTGCATTTTAGAACCAGAAAACAAGCAGAGCAGCACACACTGAAGTACACAGAGTATGCAAGTCCTTGGCCCTGGGTTTGTGAGAGCCTTGTAGTGTGTGAAGTAGGTGCATTAGTACAGATCCTCCCAGCTGGCACAGGCTCCTGGTGCTGCTCTTCCTTTTGGTTGCATTACATGCTCAGACCCACCCAGTTTGAGTTTCTGCTTGTCTAAGGGGCTTAGAGCACTTGTACAATCTCTGCTGGCTCTCCACAAAGGCAGGAAGGATCTCAGTCTGCCAACTTCCCAGGCTAGCAGGCTGCTTCTGCAACATATTCCAGTGGCTTGAAGTTAACTTTCTCCCAAGCCTTTTGTGCCCAGCAGTTTTACAGTCTGTTTTCCAAGGGCTGCATGAGAACAAGAGATCATTTAGGAAAATAAAGACAGACTTTTTCCAATAGGATTCTGAAACAATTAATCATCATTCCTGAGAACATAAGTAACCTAGACCAAAATGTAGAATTTTTTTTCTTCTGTGTCAACTTTTCTGTAGATAAGAGGGTTTTTTTTTAAGGCATAAGTTTCCTCCCAACAACCACATCAGGTGAATTCTCCACCAGACAATTAATGGTTCTGTTGACAGCTCCTACTTGGTTTGTCTGGTCTCACTTCATGTTTTCTATTTAATAGGAAGTCATTAAATCTTCATAATCTATTTATTAGACCTGCACTATCATCACATCAGATCTCATCCCAAAATAGACAAGAGGACAGATTACCTTCAGACTCAGAATTGCATTTATGTGGAAAGATATATTTGGAGTTCATTGAATGCAAGTTTGAGGTTTAAATCATACAGGAGGGTATTCTTCGAGCAGAGAGAGAGTGTTGAAAGGCAGTTTACATGCCCCCAAGCTAGCTGACAAATACAAGCACGAATATGCTGTGAAAAACCTTCCCTCCTCCCTGTGCAGCTTAAAAGGGTGAAATATGATAGTTCTCTGTTGTCTCTTGCTTGCAGAATTTCACTTGTAATGTATTTTCCACTAGCATCCTAATGGCGGGTCAGATAGGCTGTGTTTTGATATCTCCAGTGTGATGAATGTTGTCATCATTCTGGGAATACTTGCACAGCTATTCAGTTGGTCACAATAGCTGTGGAAAAAGAAAATTAGTGGAATTTACAGAATAATTTACTTGCTGAGCACTATTTGTCTGTTTCTCTACAATAAAAACCACAAGAGATGTTGAATTTCTATTTTTCATTCTTGCTTTTTGAGTTTTCACCACTTAGAGTTTTCATTTGTTCCATTCTCCACCACAACTCCTGTCTGGGTAACTCCTGTGCTGGATTTTTCATGTCCTTTCACAGGTTTTCCCACACTTTTCTTAGACCTCCTCCCTGCAGAGCTGGTTTTTAGCATCATTTCCTAGTTCTAACTCTTGATCCCCTCCCTTGCCCATCCTCCTTTGCTGTTAGGAATCCTGTGGAAACTTTCCAGCTAATTAACCAGCTCGATGCTCGTGCAGGGGAGCGAGGATGCCTCGTGGGTGGGTTTGGTGACAGTGGGCAAGGTCAGAGGTTCCCCTGCTCTGTTGCTGCTGGCTGGGAAGCAGAAAGGATACTGAAAAGGATCTGGAGATCCTGAGCCCTGAATCCCTGTTCTCTGGGGGCTGCTGGAAAGGAGCAGAGGGAGAGGAGCAGTTCTGCCTCAGCTGGCACCATTGAGTTGGTTTGAACACTTTGTGATGGTGTATGAGAGGACTGAGACTTGAAGATTATTTTTATTTTCCAGTGCATGTAGATTAAATTTCTGATGTGGCACAGGCTGGGAGTGTGATAGCCATCGGGTCAGAGGTTCTGCTCTGTTGCTGCTGGCTGGGAAGCAGAAAGGATACTGAAAAGGATCTGGAGATCCTGAGCCCTGAATCCCTGTTCTCTGGGGGCTGCTGGAAAGGAGCAGAGGGAGAGGAGCAGTTCTGCCTCAGCTGGCACCATTGAGTTGGTTTGAACACTTTGTGATGGTGTATGAGAGGACTGAGACTTGAAGATTATTTTTATTTTCCAGTGCATGTAGATTAAATTTCTGATGTGGCACAGGCTGGGAGTGTGATAGCCATCACTGTCTGCAGAGAATCAAAGGAAAATAGAGGAAACAATTACTATTTCTTGATATGTTTGACAAAAATTGAGGTGTGAGTTTATAATTTAGAGTCAGCAAGATGAGTTCCTTCAAGAAAGTCAAAGTCAGTACACAAGAAATCAGTGTTTTGTGGCTTTGTTTCTTTATTTTCTGGAAATCCACATGCAAAGCATCCTGGTCCAGTGGTAATTTGTTTACCAGTGTAGCTGTTCACAGCTCCTGTATGGCACTTCCACAGAGCCACAGACAGCAGCATGTTCTTTCTCCTATTAGCTCATGATCTCATCACCTTTCCTTTTATGCTGTTCTTCTTGCTTGCCAGCTGCTGTTGTGCACTTCTTTGGCTGGCAAGGAGGGTGACTTTTAGTTTCTGGAGCTGCTTCTCTTGTTGGTTAGGGGAATTATATGTAATGTTCTTACTTTTCCAGGCTCTGGTTAGTCTCTAGAAGCCTGTCACATCCAACAGTATTGTAGTTGTTATGGCTTTTGAAAATTACTTACAGAAAAAATCCTCGCTGGTTGAAGTTAAAATCTAAATGAATTTATATATTTATTTTAAAAGTCTCTACTATAACATAGTGGCAGAGAGAAATAAAGGAAACTTTCTTCTTGGCATTGAAGTACAAGGACAGACATTTTGGTTGTGTCTGGTAGAGCTGCAAAGGCCATTATTATGGTTATAAAATTCTGCAGTCTATTCTGCATCTCCGTTTCTAGTTCAAGTGGTGTAGTCACAGGACAAGGGATGTGCCTGTAGCATTTTGGTGGTGATGGTTTGTTTGTTCTTCTTTTTGCTTGCATGTAGGATGAGTGATTTTCATATTTATTTGCATTCTGAATTTTGCCAGGTGATCAGCTCTTCTTGCTGAAGAGAAACAAGACAGAAACACTCAGTTCTTTCAAAATACATCATTCAGTATTTGTGTCTTTTCCAATAGCCCTTCAGGATCATTTACCACAGGATACCTGATTTTAAGTTTCAGTTTTCTCCTTGAGAGGCTTCATATCCAGTCAAGGGTGCAGAATACCATCAGCTGGAATGTAATAGTCCTTGTAGTGCCTGTGTGTCTGTGTTAACTCATTGCAGAAGCTCATTTATTCTCAATCTCTGACTTAACTGACAGCATAACTGACTGTCCAGATCAGTGCATAGGTCACCTCACCTCCCTGGAGAAACTGCATGTAATTTTGAGGTGGTTAATTTTTGCCTGCTGTGATGGATGTAGTCCTTGCTTGTTTGGATGTGATTTCTCACAGTCTCTTTCTCAGAAAAGAAAGGCAAAAAGTCTCCAGATATCTGCAGTCCATATGGGTGGATTCTGAATGAGTTGTGAATTCTTAGGAAAGAGTCTAAGTGGAAATTCAGTTCCATTAACACATTGTCAAATAATAAACAGAAAGTGAGATGTCTCAGAATTAATAGAAGTGTAGACATTCATGTAGAAACTTACTGACATTATCTGGAATGAGTGAGCTTTTTTCCAAGCTTCTAATAAGTAAATTACCAGTCAATTTATAATTAATTGTATTTTTACTGTGTTTTAAATATAGAAGCAGAGTTTGCAGCATAGCTGTTGATGAAAAAGGCTTCTATGACTAGAGTTTTTCAACCTTTTTGTCTTTGTGGACCCCTAAAAATCTTCCAGGTCATGCATGGAATCTTTACAGTAATATTGAGTTTCCTCTGCTCATTTACTCTCTGCAGGCACTGTGCAGGAGTTCATGGGTGTCTCAGAGTGGATACCACTGAACCAGACAGACATTTCTCATGTTCATACAACCTTATCAGTTCATTAAATGAGTCAGAAATCAGTTTTGTCTTTGGCAAAACTACACAGGCTTTTTCCAATTCAAATGCCTGTATTCTTTATGTGGAGAGTGACTTTCTGAGGCTGGGTGAGACTGACTGCTCATGAGAGAACCACCTGGATGTGTGAGTGTGCAGCAGGGAATGGTGTCTCTTACTTTGTCGGGGTCGGCTGTCACTCGTCTCTGCCCCAGCACAGGAAAAGGTGGTTCTGGGCAGGCCGCGCTTTGAAGGAGTCTGGACTCTGGAGTTTTCGGTCTTTGGTTGTGTTTATTATTTCTTATCTACAAAGTTTTATTTCTTGCCGAGGTCTGATCAGCAAGGCAGCCAAAAGCACTCTCTCCCACCCACGGGGCGGCTGTGTCTTTTATAGTGAAAACTATGCATTAGATATTTACCTTCTATTTTCAATACTTTTCACCCTTGTTAACAAGTGTACCTTCACCATGAACCAATCCACACATGCCAACATCATCCTGAACATGGATGCCAGGGAGAAGAAAGAAAAAGGACAGGGCACGCCCAAATCTCTCCATCTGGGGACTCCTGACTCCCATGTACAGGATTCCAACCCCCCTGTACAACACTCAAAACCCCCCTGTACAGTGCATTAAAATCTATGTTTCACCCAGTGAATATCATCCCCTCACCATTCAAACTTGAAATTCTCTCATCTCCTCACACTCAGGTGACACTTCTTTAGAAGGGTCAAAGTCAAGCCACCAGACACTTTTGGCAACATTCCAGGACTTCCGAGTCCCCCAAGGGTTGTCTTGGTAGTTCTGGACATCCAGAGTGATGTGCTGAGTTCCCACATTACTTAATGGGTTTTGTTC